CCCTTATTCCGCAATCTTTGGGCGTCCATAGGATGGATCTCTCATCCCTTCACCTCCATCCTTTTCAAGAAAAAAGAACCTCTTCTTCCGACCCCTAAGCTTGTTAGGGAAGTCGTAGATCTTCCTCCCATTGCAGAAGGGATGGTAAAAATAGAATGGGCTAGAGATTCTTTTCATCTGAACTAAAGCTGAGAAGGCCTCAAGACTCACGGGGAAGCCTCGGTGGTGGCATAAACTAATTAGTCCAACTAATGTTCTGACCCCGTTTGGGACGAACTGACACAACGATACTCTGTAGCGCCTCAAAACAGCGGCGATAAACGGATGGAGAGGGAAACAAAGACCAGTCGCCAACGACTCCTCATAGATGCACAACCCCTCTTGGTCATGGTCCCAAAGATAGTGATTGGTAGCGGGCTCAATCCAACGATATTTGTCAGGAATCTCATACCTTTGGCATATCTCAACTATTTCCGCCCCAGGCAGCTGGGTCGGCTCAAACATGCCCATCATAGCCTTAACCTCCTCTCTCCTGCTCACCAAGGCACCTACAAAATAGACCCTGTATGACCCCTCCCTAGAGGAGCTCCATTCATTGTTTGACTTATCGCCAAACGGCCTATTCTCAGTAAAGCAACAAGACATGGTGAAAAATTAGAACTACTCACCAGAGAAATAGAGAAGAAACTAGATATGGTAACAACAGAACTCGGGSCAAAGGGAAAATAGAGCTCGCCTCGATAGATCAGCTCTGGACACCAACTCGCAGACCTCCCTCCTTCTCCAAAAAACATCCAAAAACAGTGAGTGGGGACCTCATAAGAGACCCCGTATTTATAGCTCACGGGAGAAAAAATCAATAGCCTGGATGGCAGACACAGCTGGTGGAAGCACGCTGGGTAAAGATCCAACAGCGCAAGTGGGGGACAGCCTGGCAATAGCAGAAAAGTAGCACACGTGTTCAAATCTTGGGTGTGCAAATTCTAAATTTCAAATGTACGCACGCTGAAATTTGAATCTGAGTGCGCGCTCAAATTCAAAAACTCCCACTACAAGCATCATGCGCGCATGGCGAGATCACACCTCTCTCTCCAAAGTCCAAAAGATTCCAAAAGGAGCAGTTTAGACCGCGAGCTCAAACTGGGCGACCTGAACCACGATGAAGCAAGTAGACCAAAATGCCCTAGAAGATCTTACTCTCTTCGCCAACTGAACATCGGCTCGAGAGTGGGGGGCAATTAATGAGGGGCATTTTGGTCCTCCCACACAAAAAAGCGACACATAGACGTTATTGAATATGCAACACCAAGTCAGCATACCAGCTCGGTAGGTCAGTCGAGGGCACTTCAGCCAGGGGGCAACTGAACTGGGGCAAACGTTCAGGAGCCGGTAAGAAGAGATCGGCTAGACCATTACGCATGCCCACCCTCAAGGGTGCTAATATTGCGACCATGGAAACAGCTCACCGAACCGTACGCCACAAGTTAAGCAGGTGACATGTAACCATCGTGCGAATCTAGCAACTGACATATTAGCACAACTTGTATTGTAGAAACAACTCTGCCAAAGACTCAGAGACATTGCCCAAAGCACCTAAACCCCAGATAACTATAAAAGGACCCCAAATCCATCTAAAAAGGTATGTGCACTGAAACACTTAAGCTCTCTCACACATTTCTACAAGATTCCCATACTAACTTAAGCATTGGAGTGTTCTCCTAGGTAAAACCTACCACCCAGGCACTCTCACCTTTCTCTCTTTACAACTCTTTGTAGCTCGAACACACAGATACCAGCTCGGTTGTGCAGCTCAGTACTGCCAGATCAGAACCTTGTTCGAGCGAAGTCATAGGATACGAGGGAGCAACATATTGCACATCATCAATATGAATATTACTAAATCTATTATAATTACTTTTGTGTTTTTAATAAATATTTTAAAGTTATTATGTAATTTTGTTAGAATATTTAAATAAATTTTGATTTTTTTTAATTCACACTTTCTTTAGATAGATATAGATAAAATGTSTGGGAGAGGATAAATAGGAGTTAGAAATTATTTAGGAGATAAATTCTCTATTAAATTAGAGACAATAAAGGAGAAAAATAGGAATTAGAGATAATTCGGGAGATAAATAAAAATTATAGATAATTTAGGAGAAAGTGGGGCAAAGTGGGGGAAGTAGTTTAGGAGAAATTTTAGGAGAGGATATTATTTAGGATATTGAGAACGTGTAGGGGAGAGAGAGAGAGAGAATGAACATCTTGAGCTTTGTCGTAATAAAACCAGTTGTTGTTGATACCTCCTTCTCGATTCCTTCTTCAATAACCCAAGCTCGGAGAAGGAAGAGATAAGAGGGCCCTATGGAGAATGTGGTCAGAATTCCATAATAGAGTCCGAAAATGGTACGGAGCCACAACGAAGAAGTTCTAGGAGTTACGAAGGAAGCTTTGGGCTCATATTGGTCATGGGTTAATAATAGGAATTAAACTATATGAGATCTAATCTCCTGTTGTTCCTCAGTAGCTCAGTGGTAGAGCAATCGGTTGTTAATTGACTGGTCATAGGTTCAAATCCTATTTGGGGAGATTTGATTCATTTTGAATTAAAAGAATTCAGAATGAAAGGGTTTACTTTGACCGTTAGAWGTAGGTAACTTGTTCCATGTCTTTGTTTCTACTGCATTTTATCTCATCATGTCACATTCTGTTTTGTGATATTTGGGAATCACCGTCAATACCTCAGTGTAGATCCAGGATAATCCTTTGTTCCATAGCCGTGGGGCTATTTACAACTAGCCAATTAAGAATTCTCAGATGTACTAGTACTAGCAGTGCATCAAAGATGCAGTCATCAATTCTCCCGAGAGGCCACAATTACCGCGAGCAAACATAGCATTAACGTTACAAAGACTAATGCACCAATTGTGGTACAATAGAGTTGTAATTCACTAGTTATTCCATCCACTAATGTCCACCCTATGACTACTCAGTCAAAGGCTGGAATTTGGAAGCACAAATTGTACACTATTACCAAACATCCCCTTCCTTCCCCTAACCTACTTGAACCTACATCCTATTCTCAGGCTTCTAAACATGAAGAGTGACGCCATGCCATGACTGAGGAATACAATGCCCTCATAAAAAATTGGACATGGGAGTTGGTCCCACAACATCCTTCTCAAAATGTGATTGATTGCAAGTGGGTTTACAAAATCAAGAGGAAGCCGGACGGGTCCATTGAACGATACAAGACTCGTCTTGTAGCCAAAGAATTTCACCAAAGAGCTGGTATTGATTACAAGGACATTTTCAGTCCAATGGTAAARCCTACAACCATCCGTGTTGTTTTTTCTCTTGCCAAGTCAAATGGCTGGCCCGTTCGTCAACTTGACATCTCCAATGCCTTTCTTTATGGCCACCTTGAAGAAGCTGTGCACATGACACAACCTCTCGACTTTGTAAATCTCCAACTACCGACTCATGTTTGTCTAATTTGCAAATCCCTTTATGGGCTTAAAGAGGCTCCATGGGCCTGGTTTTAGTGGCTCTAGAATCAGCTTCTCACTTATGGGCTTTTTGGGTTCTAAAATGGATACCTCTCTCTTCATTTACAACTATAATGGCATTATCATGTATGTATTGGTTTATGTAAATGACATTCTTGTCATGGGGAATGATACATCTGCTATCACAACTCTCATTGAGGAGCTTTCCCACCATTTTGCACTCAAGGACCTTGGCTCAATCCATTATTTCTTAGGTGTGGAGGCCCATGATAGTGATGCTGGTCTTCATTTGTGCCAAAGAAAATACATTGCTGACTTACTTCGCCGCGCTCATATGAATGGCTCGAAGCCCATCTCCACACCATTTTGCATGTCCACCTCTGCATCTAAGCATTATCTTCCTGATGCTACAGAATACCGCAGCATAGTAAGAGCATTGCAATATCTTCTCATCACGCGACCTAATATCACCTTTGTTGTTAATCGTCTGTGTCAACACATATATCTCCCAACGGAGGCGGATTGGTCTGCTGTTAAGAAAGTACTCCGTTACACGAAACACACCATAGATTATGGGCTCATCATCAAGCCATCGTCTACTTATCTTCTACAAGCATACTCTGACTCCGATTGGGCAAGGTTCCCTGAGGATCGGAAATCAACCACTGGTGATTTCCTCGGAGATAACCTTATTTCTTGGTGCTCCAAGAAATAATGTACGGTATAACTTTATAACTTTATTTATCTTTTGTTTCATTTCTTTTGGAACAATCATGTACAAACACTTTTTAGTTTTCACATTATAGATTTACCAAGTTCAGAGTGCACGTGCATCTAATTTATTCAATTTAACTGTGAAACTGAAACCACTCACGAGCAAATATGGTGAGTGCCCACGTGGATTTTGCTCTTCGGCATCCAAAACATGATGAGCACGTGGGCGGTCAGAAGGAATGTAAATAGATATAGTTTACATCGGAGACTTCCCATCAGACAGAACTGTAAACATTAAGATGGAAGGCTGTGTCTTGACTACTTGCATTTGCACTTGTCCCTGAGTGAGAGAAAGAGAGAGAGAGCTCTAATTAAGTTCCGTAATTTATCTCGTTCAGGTTACCGGCTTCTGAGTTCAAGAGGGACCTAGAGAGGAGAATGGAAATTCCGAAGGAAGTTCAAGCTGACGAGGTTGAAATCTGGAAATTCGGATATGACTTTGCCGACACTTTAGTCCTCCGATGTGCCATTGAGTTCGGTATTGCAGACATAATCCATAAGCAGGGAGAACCCTTGACGCTCTTTGAACTGGGGGCTCAAATTCCTGTGCAACCAGTCAACACCGATCACTTGCACAGGTTAATGCGTTACATGGTGCACATGAAGATCTTCACCAAGGAAACCCTAGGTGGCGAAGAACRATATGGGCTATCTCCACACGGTAAGTTCCTTGTAAAAGGGTGGGACAAGAGCATGGCGTCAGCCATATTAGCGATCACTGACGAGGATTTCTTTGCACCCTGGCACTGTCTCAAGGATGTCTTGGCCGGCGAGGGGACAGCTTTTGAGAAGGCGTTAGGCAAGAGCATATGGGCATACGTGGCTGATCATCCGGAGAAGAATAAACTCTTCAATGAAGTAATGGCTTGTGATACCAGTTTCATCACATCAGTCTTGATTCAAGACTGTAAGGATGTATTCCAAGGAATAAAGTCGGTGGTGGATGTTGGTGGAGGCACTGGAACTGCCATGAGAGACATTGCCAAGGCCTTTCCCCACCTAAAATGTACAATTTATGATCTACCTCATGTCATTGCCGACTCACCTGATTACCCTGAGGTCGACCGGATTGCAGGCGACATGTTCAAACACATTCCTAGTGCCGATGCCATCTTATTGAAGGTAAAAAAGTTGAGTTTGTTTCAATCTCTTCAGATCATTCTTGACTCAGAATTTGATATTTGAGCTTTTCTTCACCATGTAGCACAACTTCTTTATTCCTTAAGCAGACAAACTATAAGAGAAAGCAATTTCTTTTATGGTCAGGATAAATCAATCAAACACGATGTACACGAAAGTGTAATCACATCTGGTTTGGGTTGCTTTAATTGGTCAAATTTTCAACCCTAACCCAACTCAACTTTTTGTTGAATTGGCATTTTTCAGCCCTAATCCTAAGACAATCTTCATCCCAACCAAACCCTCCTTTCCCTTTTCTGGTCAGATTGGGTTGGGTTTGGCCTTGCAGCCCTACTAGTATAAAGTTTCTATAATTTTTGGCATTCACTGTTTGTAACTAATATATTTTGTACTGTGGTTCAGTGGATCCTCCATGATTGGGATGATGGTGAATGTATTGAAATTCTAAAGCGATGCAAGGAATCAGTGCCTAGAGAGGGTGGAAAAGTTATCATCGTCGACATAGTACTAGATCCGGAATCTAAGGATCCCTTAACAAAGGCTAGATTAAGGTTGGATTTGGACATGATGGTCTACACTGGAGGAAAAGAGAGGAGTGAGGCAGAATGGAAGAAGCTTTTGAATGCTGCAGGGTTCCCTGGATATAAGATTTTACATGTAGCTGCCGTTCAATCTGTAATTATGGCCTATCCTTATTAGCCTTCTCTCTCTCTCCCCCCCCCCCGGTCCAGCTACTTGTCTTCTTCTTCAGTATTAATAATATTTACTTTTTGTTAGGTTGCACATATATTAGTGTCATAGGATGGGTTCAAGTCTAAGAATGACAATTTTATTAAAGAAAAAAATACCATAGATAGGTTAGGTCTGTATTCAGTTCCTTCTTCCACATAGCTGCGACTAACATTGGATAATGGCTTTCTTGACTATCCATTATCATATCAATCCATACAATTCCCACTACCTATTACCAACTCCTACCCCTCATCATTCTGTGAGATTGACCATTGTGAGTTTTGATTTACCAACGCTGAATGATTTTCTTGAAAATTTTACTCAATAAAAAAATGGATCATATTAATTACTATATTTATTTTTGGCATTTTGGTTAAGGTTGTCAAATGGGTCAGGCAGACCCTACAGACCCAAACTGAATCTACACAATTATATATACAGGCTCTGTTTGGAAGGATTAAAAATACAAATATGTTTACAAAGTAATACAAAATACAAGGTTTTGCACACTACATATTTTTATATGTACTCCCTCCAAATTGAGCCATAAAATCTATGTTTGCATTGTATCCCGATTATAATTGTATCGCGATCAATTTTGGTTCTTTTGAACTGGTAAGAGACCACACTCCACTATATATTTAGTTGTATATATTGCTATGTTTGTGCCTTGAATTCTTTGTGGTGACCTGCTTCATGAATCCGCTCCGAATTAATTTGAAATAAACCCGAAAGCAAATTTTCATAGTGGTTTGTGGTGGATGCATAGGGCTTTGGGCAGCTAGGAATGGACCTGACCCATATTCATCTTATAGGCCCAAACTGAATACGAAGATTTATGTATTTCGGGGATTTTTTCTCTTGTACAGTGGATCTGAGTCTTGTGAGAGACGAGTGAGACATTGGGTGTATTTGGGGCTTAGGGTTTTTTGTGAGAGCACAACTTTGTATTTCTTCTCCATTACCTACTTCAAAGTGGATTTTTGTTCCTCCTTCACCTGTGGACGTAGGCTATAAGCCGAACCACATAAATCTATGTGTTCTCTGTGCTTGTTTCTCTTTATCTCTGTTTTATTTTCATCATTAGTGCCATTTCGAATCTATTTTCTTGGGTTTTTCTGCAACAAACTGGTATTAGAGCCCTATTTTTCGTTTGGCACTTATAATGTCATTAATGAATTTTGATATTGAGAAGTTTGATGGTAGCATCAGTTTCCGTATTTGGCAAGTCAAGATGCATGGCATTTTGAGACAAGACAGACTACACAAAGCTCTGTACGAGAAGGAGAAGAAACATGCAACTATGAGTGATGAAGAATGGGAGGAGTTAGATTTTAAATCCCTAATCACGATTCAGTTGCTGCTATCAAACGAAGTTTTGCGGGAAGTCGTTCATGAGAAGACCGTTGCAGGTTTGTGGCAACAGTTGGAGTCTCTATACTTGTCAAAATCTCTTGCTAGTAAGCTCTACTTGAAGCAACGACTGTTCCTGTTTCAGATGGCTAAAGGTACACCTATAAAATCTCATATTGATGAATTTAACTCTACTATCATGTACCTACAAAATATTGATGTTAAGGTTGAAGATGAAGACAAAGCCCTTTTGTTACTCTGTTCCTTACCACTCTCATATAAGTCTTTTAGAGAGTCTCTCATCTATGGAAGAGACACCATTATTACAGAGAATGTTAAAAAGGCATTACTCTCTAAAGAGGTGACTGATAAAGACTTGACTATGAATAGGGGTGATAGACTAGATTGCTTACAAGAGGGAGGTCTAAGGATAAGGGCTCAAATAGTAACCGAAGTCTAGATCAAAATCTAGACATAAGAACTTTACCTATAAGTATTGTCACAAGAAAGGGTACATTAAGTCAGAATATTATAAGTTGAAAAATAAAAACCAGAATGAAGAAAAGAAAAAGAATAACTCAATAGAGGCTAGTGTGGCTGAGGATGAAAATGTGGATGTTCTCTTTGTAATAGAAGATAGAACAAGATCCAAGGTGAAGAGAGAGGGATATACCTAATACGAAGTAGCAGTAACTCCTAATGAAGGTGGTCACGCCCAAGGAGAAAACCAAAATCTACTTCCACAGAAGATGACACAGTGTGAGATGAAGCAAGATCAATAGGACGGTTCTTCAGCAAGAACCGAATTCTTCAGCAAGAATAGGGTAAAGGGCTGGTGAGCACGAATTAAGATTGCTTCTTCTGCCTAGAAGCAAAATCAAGAACAATTCTTGATCACTCCCACAAGTAGAGATCAAACTGGGTGGGGCGGCAAGAACAGAGAAGAGCTCTGCACTTTTCTGTGTCTTGTCTGGTGTCCTTTTGCATGTCCACCCGACAACCTCCTACTCTGATTAGGAGTTTTCTTGATCCAAATCTTTATTTGGATCTGAACTCTTTAAGTGATAAGGTTAATCCCTTATCTTATATGTAGTTTAAGATCAACTTAATTCTAATCAAATTAGGAGTTTCTTGATCCAAATCTTTATTTGGATCTAGACTCTTTAAGTGGATAAGACTTATCCTCTTATCCTTATCTACTGATCCAAACACAGATTTTCCCCTATTTAATGAATCTAATTAACCCAGTTCGAATTGGGCTTTAGGCCCATTGAGTTTATGTGCTCACTTAACCTCTTAACTTACTACCCATTTGGCTCTCCTTGTATGGTGTGTGACCCAAACATTGATCTACACATCAGCCACATGGGTTCAGCCCAACCTTTGTTACAAGGCTAGGCCAAATTCATTGTAGGAGATAGTGAACCCCTGAATCCATCACCAAGGGCTCTTAATGGGCCCAACATTTACACTAAATGGTCCTTGGGTCCAGCCACCTTATGAAAACCCAAGGACTGTGGGCAGATGCAAGATTAGCCCATTAGGTATTACCCTCAATGGTCTTACACTTAACCTCTCAGCCCATAATGATC